TAAATTAACTTCAAGATTCTTTACATACAACTAATGAATGAACATCCTAGATGAGAGCTTTGCTTTCAGATGTCCTTTGGCTACTCACGTTTTCTGTAATGAAACAAACAAAAAAAATAGAATGTATTTGGAGGCATCTGTATTTGCTAACAGATGGTTATTGGAACTGTTAGAGCTGTGTTTTGCAGTAAAATATCCATGGCAGATAAAGTTGCAATTTTAATGTGTGCCAGAAAAGGGAAAAGGTAAATGTAAGAGAAACTTAGGAGAACACCAGGAATGTTCCCTTGTAGCAGTCTGCAAGAAGGGATCTCAGTACGTGACTGTCCGACGGAGCATTGGGTCAGGGCAAGGTCAGAGCCAGTAGAAACCTCATTTTTCATTCAAATATCAGTTTGGAGCAAAGCACAGTAGAACAGATTGTACATAATTTGTTAATATTTGTGGTTTATTAGACTTACATCAACACATTGTGCAACAACTTGAACTTTTAGTTCTTTTTTTCCCCCCCTTTCATGCTGTGCATGTCGTCAGATATTGAAACCTAACAGGCAAATGGTAAGAGCCTAGAAAAGGAGGAGATACAAACTATTGTATCTGTTACTTCACAAGATTAAAGGATGCAGCATCCACAATATAAATGTGTTCAAAAATAAAATGGTGGCAAAAACCAGTTCATATTTTGTATTCTAACTCTGTGACCGTTTAGAGCAGTGTTAGCAGACACTTTCTTTCACAGGTTGTAAGAAAGCACTGGCCTCATTTTACTTCAAGATACTGCTTGTCCAACGTGCCCCAATATTTTTCAAATCTATAGTAGTTTTCAAAAGACCTATAAAAACAAACATATGCTACCTTTTAAAATTGTCAGTAAATCTAAAGTTGTGACTCCTTTTTTTTGTCACGTTTAAAATGAGAAAAGTAGAACTATTAATAGGGTGCTGGGAGGGATCAGGTTTTGTTTTGCTTGTTTGCTTTAATATTATTTTGAGCAGGGGAGTCAGCTGTGTATCAAGGCGTGTAACTGCATTAACCCCAGTTTCACCTCTCCATGCTGTACTAACCACTCCAGTCCAGGATGAGTTCGATTGCCTGTCTGCATGCAGCACCTTTCTCCTTCCTTGCTTTTTTTAATGATAATTAGTAAAAAGAGGGCTTGTTCACTATGTCAGTGACAAAACTAGCTGACAAAAAGCAGCGTTCGCCGTGAGCATCCCAGACCACTTGGGCCCCTGCAGAAAGGCCGTTGGGTGCGGGTTGCGTGCGGGCACGCGGCGTGCGAACCCGGCCTCCCCGCTTGCTTGTCAGAGCGGAAGGTTTGTTGCTGTAGGACTTGTGCAGGCTTTAGACTCACTTTGTGTAGGCAAGAAACTACTAAAGTGACAGAATCATAATATGTTAGGATTAAAGCCTGACCATTTTTAAACATTTGTTCTTAGGCCTTGAAAAAAAGTGTCTTTTCTGTAGTGTTTCCTTTGACAAATATAATGGCACCATTATTTTTGAATTGTGAAGCTGTGCTTGGAAAAAAAGCAAACCTTCAAATGATGCTGCATGTTAAAAATGACCTGGAAATGTTTAAACTCAAATTGAGAAGTGTTTTTGCATTTCTTTTGAGTATTTGCCACCCAATATTTGCTTTTGGTTGGATGTTTACACTTAACTGGTGGATTTGGTATTTTCATTTTCCTATCATGCCATGTTCCTGTATTGGGCTTCTTCATCTTTCATGTAGCCTTTTTGGTGATCTGTTTTGAACCAAGAAGGAATATAACGTGTGGTCTGTTAATTTTGCTCTTATGTTATATGCTATATTTGTTTCTATAGTAGTTTGTGTTGTATTATTCCTTTAAATGTGATTAGTCAAGTCGCGAGCTTCTGTCCATAGGCTTGTTGCAGTAGTATAGCTGACCTGAGAGAAATCTAAATTACGAATGTTCTTAACTGATCTCTTTCCATGACATTTGCCTTGCTTTGCCTTTTATTTAGATGTTTGGAAACTGGACATTTGGCACTTTGGTCTTCACCGTCATGGTTATAACTGTTACGATGAAGGTATGATATTACAGTATTTATTCCTTGGCTCAGATTTATAGGCAAGCACATAATGCAGTACTAATTTTAATTTGATTCAAAAATTATACAAAGTATCATTTCTTGAGGGATCCAGATGCACATTTATGTTTCCTGATAAATAATATTGGCTTCATAGTTTGTGTTCCAACAATATTTAGTAGCTGAAATTTTGCAATATATTCAAATTGCTTCAGACCAGTATTTGACATTTTTTGTGAAGTTGGGAGAAAACAAGTTCATTAAAACTGCTATTTTTGTTTTAGATGGCACTAGAAACTCATTTCTGGACATGGATAAACCATTTTGTTACTTGGGGATCCATTGTGTTTTATTTCATATTCTCCTTGTTTTATGGGGGGATTATCTGGTGAGTCCTTTCTTCTCTCCTTCCTATAACACACCTGATGAATGAAATTATGAAAGAACATTGCATTAAAGTTGTGTATTCTGCCCTATTGCTTTGAATTTTGTCATAGATATTGGAAAACAAATCTCTAAACCTGGAGTGACGTTTGCCTGTGATTCTTTTTGAAGTTAGAGCCATGCTGTTAAGCTGTTGTGTGTTGAAGGACAGGAATTACTTGTATCCAACAGACTGTGACTATAAAAATCATAGAATCATTATGGTTGATAGAGACCTTCAAGATTGAGTCCAGCCGTAAACCCTTTGCAACCATGCCTGTTAAACCATGTCCCTGAAGACATTCAGGGGAGACATAAAGACATTATATTTTTATCATGCCTTTTTTCTATAAAGACATTATATTTTTAAAAAATCAGATAGGGTTGCCAAAGGTTCTGCATAATTGGTAAATATTTGCAGTGCAAATATGGACAGTGAAGTGATACCCTTTTCTGCTTGTGTTTTGAGGTTTGAAGGCACAGGCCACTGATCCCCTGCAACAGAGTTTATAACAGATTTTGTTTTCCTAATGTTTCCCTGATGTTTCTTTACTATTGGTTCCAACACATTGCCAGACTTATTCTCAGACTCCATACAGTTCTCATTCTCATCCTAAGTGATCTGTTGGTTGACAAAAGTTAGGATGTTTTAGCCAGTCAGTCCTGTACCCGTTGCTAAAAGCTTAGGTTAGTAATTGCCACCTCTTCTAACTTTTCAGGCCATTTTTACATACCCAGGACATGTACTTTGTGTTTGTTCAACTGTTGTCAAGTGGTTCTGCTTGGTTTGCCATAGTCATCATAGTAGTTGCTTGTTTGTTTCTTGATGTCGTGAAGAAAGTTCTGTACAGACATCTACAACCAACAAGTACTGAAAAAGCTCAGGTAATGTTATGTTTTTCTATTTAACTTGATTAGTATTTAAACAAATATGTTTATTAAAATCTGTCTTGTTAACCAGTTAATCTTTCCTGTGATTTTTTAGCATTTAATCAAACTCTTAATTTTTTGTGACGTTTAATGCATAATACAGTGATCTCAAATGCATAAGACAATGTTCTCATATGGAAAGATAAGTGTTAATTTAAAATTACCAAAATTAGGACACCATTTTACAAGAAATTAACACTAACAAATAGTCAATTTATTAACAGTACAGTTATTTACAGAGGAATCATTCAATCCTTTACATCTCAGGTTACAACTCTTTAAAAGGTTTATATTGCACATTTTTAATACTCTTTAAACCTGGTAACCAAACTTTCGTTTCTGTCTAGCTAGAAACTCTCACTTCAACTGTAATTGACACTGAATAGTTCTTAAAGCAATAATTTTTCAAATTGCTTTAGTAGGACTTGGTTTAATTAGTATTTCTTAAATCTTGATCATGCTATATGCCATGTCTTTGATTGATTGTTAATTATATAATTAAAGATAATTAACTGTATGGTGTTTTCATAAACTCATGGATGAGGCCTGAACAACTACTGTAATAACAGAATCTGTCTTCTCTTAGCACAGGCCACACACAAACTCCTTGAAGTCATTCTTTTATAAATGACACTGTCTTTTAGGTACAAAGCTCATCTGTGTTTGAGTGCTGTTGTTTTTAGTGACAGTAGTGGAGAAGTCATCCTCATGTGTTTTTCTAATAGCTCTTCTCTCTGGTTTCAGTTTTCAGCATTTTATCTTTTTATAACATTTTTTGCCATATTGAAGTTGTCTTTTGTTACCAACTTTTTTCCATTATTAGTTATTTGATCAAGTTAATCTTCTCACTGACTGAACACACAGGTTGGATTTGAATCTTCCTGTAAAGCATGTTTTCCACTCTTTTAATAATTCTTGTGCCTCTTCTGTAATCTTTGCCATTCCTTATGCTCCATCTTGAATTCCAAATGTCACCATTGAACACAGTATTCTAGTACAGCATATATCAGTGTCAAGTATGGAAGTAATGAATCTCCCAAATGTATTCAATTTACTAAATAATATAGGTCACCAACGTGTTATCTTCTGTATCCTTTTCTCTTCTGAAAGTGATTATTTTGTTTTGCTTCTAGGTCATTGCTGAGAAGTCTAATGGCATAGGGCCCAGAAAAAAAGAATTGAAAGTGAATAGAAAAGCGGCCAGTTGATGGTCATACCCCATTTACAGTTATATTCTGAAACTTATTAGGAGTTTTTAATCCATTTAATGTATGCTATATTGATTTCTTTGGTCTTCTAGTTGCTTAATCCAAATTACCTTGAGCTATGTGCCTTACAGAACTCTTAATTACATTATATCAATACTGATACCTTTTAATTCTTTTGATAAATGTGTGTTGATTCATTTTAAATTATTACATTCTAATTTGTATTAATAAAAATCCATATGAGACACTCTTACTTTTGTCAAGGATCATTGTCAGGCTGCCATACCTAAAGTTAACCAAATTACCCCATTAACCCTTTTTCAGAACTGTCATAGTATTAACTGCTTTGTCCAGCCTTGGGATTCAGTATCCAAAATCCCAGGTAATGAACTGTGAGCTTTCTGAAAGCTTTTCCACTAGACTTGGTAAAAATCTTGATAGCACATTATGCAGATTTATTTTTTATTGAACATTTTCCATCCTTCCTGTATTATTTACAGTCAGCTTTTTCCATCTCATGTTGGTGGATTAGTGTGGTTGCTCAATTTTCTCATGTCCCTAAAAATACTTGTTGTAAAAATAACAACAAAAAATCTTTAGTCTCTAACCTTATCTATACACTTCTTATTGCATTCTCTTGCTGACTGAATTCTGTCATTTTTCTGTCAAATTCTGTCAAATGGCTTTTGTTTCCATTACAGTTGTATGATCGTTATTTACAGTCAGCTTTTCCATCTCATGTTGGTGGATAAGTGTGGTTGCTGTCCCTAAAAATACTTGTTGTAAAAATAACAACAAAAAATCTTTAGTCTCTAACCTTATCTATACACTTCTTATTGCATTCTCTTGCTGACTGAATTCTGTCATTTTTCTGTCAAATTCTGTCAAATGGCTTTTGTTTCCATTACAGTTGTATGATAATGGGCATGATCAGGTATCTCTGTTAGGAAAGATCAGTGACTGACATCTTTCTTGTGGCTGTAACTTAGTGGTCAAGGTCATTTTGATTTGTGCCCTTCTACTAATTGTTTTTATTTTTCTGATTCTCTTTTTGCTTGGCCATTTACAGCATCTGCAGTAGTGTCCACGCTTAGTGAAACACTTCCTTTTTTTCCTGAAAACACCTGATTCCTAAAATTGCAAAATTCAGCTAGGGACCTGAAAACTCATTTGACCAGAAATGCTTCATTGGCCATTCAGCCACTTCTCTGTGTATCTGATAAGTTAAAAAGGCATTTGCAAAAGAAAAAACATCTCTCTGTTACTTTATTAAGACTTACTCTGTTGACGTTTTTCTACTCATAATGGGACAGGCAGCCCAACAGAATTTCATAGGCCACTCTTGTAGTGAGGAGCTAGTGAGGATGAGCATGTGACGGACTGACTTTGCCCAGTTATTCTCAGGAAGGGACAGGGTGCTGCTTCTGTGATGATTCATCATTAGGCCTCTTTTAAGATCTCTAGGAAATACTATTCCCTTGGTTTCAAAGCAGAGGAGAGGACTCTGCTGCTCACTTGGAGTTAGAAGAATGCCTGTCCAAAAAGATAAGCAAATTCTCTATAGAAATCATTTGAAGAGTGAATATGGAGCTTTGTATTGCTAATGTAATGGGGTTTCTTCATAGTATAGTTTTTTCATATACTTTCATATACTTTTTTCATAGTATTCATTCATTACCCTGTGGCTAATGAAATTATTTTTAATTCTTCCTTTTTGACTGTGTGACTAAATTAATGTATTTTCATACTAAAGGAAAAATAATTAAAGAGCCTTAGTTTACATTTTTTATCACAGCAAGAAAAATTGTTACATGAACCAATCACTAATTTTAAAAATTGTAGCCGTCTCAATTATTTTTGTTTCTATCCCCCATGTTCTAAATTTTAAGATAGTTCCCCGAGAGCAGTGAGCAAGCATAGCACAATTCTCTGAACTGCTCAGCTGCTGATGCCTTTCAGAGCAAAGAGCCCCCCGGCCGTCTGCGCCACCCGACTCCGTGCTCCGAATTCCCTGCGTCTGCAGGCATCTGCCTTGCTGCACAGACTGTGCATGGGGCCTCATGTTACATACCTCAATTTAGCATCAGTTCGTCAACAGTTAATCAATTCTTCACCACTTAGATGTTACATGTAGCTAAGTTGTTCTTCAAAGAACAAAGAAATTTAACTGGTGGAGAGAGAAACACTTGAGAAATGTTATTTAAGGTAAAGCTTTAAATGCAAATACTATTCTATTTTACTACTTTTTTAAAACCAAAAAAAAAACCCGTCCTATTTTGGAAAATCAACCCCAGTGTGAGCAACAGGCACTGGATTGGCTCTGTCTTCTGCAGTACACATAGGGTTAATGTGTACTGGTATTTTTGCCACTTTTTTCAACTGCTATAAAATCATCTATGAAGAAATGGCCAGAAGGATGATCTCGGTCTTTGGGTAAATATAAATTGAGGGGCGAAGTTAATAATGAATAAAGACCCCTGGTGAGGTATAGGCCTTTTTCCTCAGTATGAAAGCTAAGGAGCATTTAAGAATGCTCCTAGCAAACAATAACTGACTGCGGTGATCCCAGGAGCTGTCCTGAAGGTACCAGGCTTGTGTTCTGTATATGATATGTGTTCCACTTAAATAACAATGTCTTGTCCTGTGTCTTTCTCTTAGAAAATTGCTGCTACTACTTACTGACATGTATGTTCCATCCCTTCTCTGTCCAATTGTAGATGTACTCCAACAGAGTTGCTTTAAGTGACGAGTTCATCGCACTGCAGCCATTGTCCAGGGCAAGGAATCAGCTGAGCAAAATTAGGTAGAGTAGGAGGGACAGCTCCTCATCAACTCTTATGCATGCTGAAGATGAACTAACCAGTGCTGAGAGAGATGGAAGAGGCATGAACACTAGTGGGTTGAGAGGGCAGTATCTACAGTGCAGATACATTCAGTTTGGTATTTTTCTTGGCTTTGCTCTGTGTTTTTTGAGCCAGCTGCTTCTCCTAAGTAGCATGTGTCGGACATTCCTTTTTAGGGAAAAACATCCCTAGCATGATGCTCAACTTCCAGAATACAGATCTAGCTCTTCTTGCATTCATTTTTAAATAATCATAGTTTCTAGCATGGTTACAGCGCTTTTAATTTCTTTATGATCAAAATTAACAATGCTTTCTGCATGTTGGATAATTTCATCTTCATAAGGCCGTGACAGAAAGGTCCATATATTTCAGGCAACGGTTTATTGCGAGTGGTTTGCCCATTTTAATTTGCTTTCCTTTGTTTTGAAAGTGCAAAAATATGTTTTAAGTTTGGGTGCATATGTCTACTTGTGCAGCAAGCTGAGGCTTTTTGTGTTTATTTCATGCTTCTATAAAGTGTTGTTTGTTTTCATTGTATTACAGATACATATTCCCAAAAGCATTTGAGTACAAAGTCTAACAAATTATTCAAGAAAAAGATTAAAACGTATCTGCGTGTGTAGGGTAGAATTCTGAAACTTGTCAAATGCATTGAGTTCAGTATATGAAACGTTATCAAGATTTTCAGTTGTAAGACGAAAACATTCTTACACATAAACCTGTATGACATTTTATCACACCCTTAGCCATGTCTGTGTCCTATGGCAAAAAATTATTCAGGGAACAATTGGGATTTTTTTAAGAATTTTGTAAAAGTCACTCGAGTGTCAATGATGAAAATTATAAAGTTGTACTAGGGCACCGAAGCAACCTAGATTTGGGAGGGAATCGATTCTTGTTTGCT